CTCTCCCGACTCTCTCTCCCAATCTCTCTCCCGACTCTCTCTCCCAATCGCTCTCCCGACTCTCTCTCTCCCAATCGCTCTCCCGACTCTCTCTCCCAATCGCTCTCCCGACTCCCTCTCTCCCAATCGCTCTCCCGACTCTCTCTCCCAATCGCTCTCTAAACCTTCTTGACGAGGAAGGACAGTTATAGATGAAAGGTCAGGCCCGTATTCACAGAGAATCAAATGAGAGGAAAGCTAGAGGGAGGGAGGGAGGGAGGGAGGGAGGGAGGAAGGGATGGAGGGAGGGAGGGAAGAAGAAGGACATGAGCCGGCTAGTCGTAGATAGACAAGCCCCCCACCGAGACAGAGAGTGTCACGCACCCTCTACTTACTCGTCTGTTGAAGTAGACTTTAAACTAACACGACAACAAAAAAAAAAAAAAAAAAAAAAAAAAAGAAGAAGAAAAACGAAACAACAAGTTCACTTCAATTTCCTGCTGTTTCATGAGGGAACGTTTTTCCCTTCTGAGAAGAATACAAAACGCAACGATGGATAGGTGGCCAGTCGACAGACTGCCACGTGGAAAGATCGGCGCGATCGCAGTAACTGATCAATCAAATCCAGACTGCTGTTAATTAATCGACCCAACTGTTAAACGAGCTCAACGTCGGTTTGCTTCTAATTCATCAATCAAATCCAGACTGCTGCTAATTAATCGATGGGTGGATGGACAGCCAGCTTGGCCAGTCGACAGATTGCCACGTGGAAAAAAGATGAAAGCGTGGACCAATCACGAGCGGATCAGTAGCTTGGTGAGTCGACAGATCGACACGTGGACAAATCACGGGCGCAGCACGAGGCCGACACGTGGACCAGTCACAAGACTGAAGTGTCTGACAAGCATAGTGGGAAAATGGACACGTGGCAACGACCACGAGCGGAGGCGAGTAAACAGATCGACCACAGATCAGACACGGGGATAAATCACAGGCGTTGTGCGCGACACGTGGATCAATCACAGGCGTTGTGCGCGACACGTGGATCAATCACAGGATGAATCATCGACAGCAAATTGTAACGGACGAAGACGGACGGGCACGCGTAGGAATCCTGACACGATTCCAGAGACCGACACGTGGACCAATCACGGGCGGACTAATTAGATCGCCCACAGAAAAAAATGAAGAGCGAACTACCGTAGTTAGATCGGCAAGGACCAATCATCGAGATAAAGCCAAAAACAGGCACGCGTGAGGCGATCCAAGGGATTGACACGTGGACCAATCATGCGAGGGATTGACACGTGGAGCAATCATGCGAGGGATTGACACCTGCAGCAGTCATCCGAGGGATTGACACGTGGACCACTCATCCGAGGGATTGACACGTGGACAAATCACGGGCGCACTACGTGGTCCCCGCGTGGGCCCAATTACCGAGCCGAGCTGGACACGTGACCACATCACAAGCATTGTTGAGCATTGTCAACGTTTTTCACGGGCGGACAAGGAGGCGCCACGTGGACGAATGGCGAGATGAACACGTGTCTAATTACATGCCGATCATGAGCATCGTCAACGTCGTTCGTTCGTTGAACGGTGTAGTTGAATGGTCAAAAATATATACAGAAATGGCCAGATAATGTGACTTGTTTTGTTATTAAAAAAA